AGATGGATTAATTACAAGTTAGTCTCACAAGCAATGTGGGAATAAACTAATACTCTCTCCTTCTAACAAGAAGCAAACATATGAATGATGAACTTTAGGCTAGAATAAACCCAAAAATCCATTAAAAAAGAACAGTAGAAAGGTCACCAGAAATTGCAAGTAGCAAACAAAGAGCTCATCTCATTAGTCAGAACTCATTTGCATCAAAGACTAGTTCTAATGTAGTTCTCACCCAGTTCATCATTGAATCCTCGCTCTCACCTACTGTCTGCATTGAATGATCAAAGGCAAACATTGTTGAGAACACCTCGAACAAAAGGAGTTGAACACCGGAGAAAAAATATATATTAAGAGCAACAGTTTGATTTTGGCGAAAAATCTTGCCTAAATGCGCGACCCAAGGATTTTTAAGAAGAGGGGTACTATAGCTTCGGGTTTGTTGTAGAATGAAGATATTTGTTCCTTTCTTGGTTCGAAGAAGATTAAGTTGGAAATGGAGAAGAAAAGGGTTTAGCTTTCATCGCATGGGATACTATGGGCATTTTTCAAATCTTTAATTGATGGGTTTTGATTTTTGGGCTCAAAACTCTATTAGTTTTGAACCCGATGCACCAAAGAAACCAGTTTAAGGTTATAAGTAATGGAAAAATCCGGATTCGCTTTGAACCACGTGGTACATGGCATATTCGTGGTGAATCCCTATCCAACACTGCAGCCAAAACAAAGTATCCACATAACCTAGCTCCATGTCAAAGAGCTTATGTAGAATATATGCGAAATTATCATCAATATGCATCTTTCAGTGCAACCCGACATCCTTCGCAACATCACGAACAAAGTGATACTTAAACTTTTATGAGCTTGATTTTCACAAAATACAATGCACTAGAACCATAACACTTGATAAATATTACATTTTGTTTCGCCTCTAATTCTATAAGCAATCTCTTAAGCAAAATTGCTCTGTTGCATATGCATCGATAGTTAAATGTTCTGTGTCTTTGTGGTAGATAGAGAAACCACATTGCATCTTGGACATTCAACTTGATTCATCACCTACAGAACAAAATACATCTCCAATCGCCTCTTGACTTTGTTGCCTATGAAGTTCGCATCAATACATCCAACCAACTCAGTATTAGTAAAACATTACTGTCCCATGAGTATCTCTCAAGTAATGAAGTAATCTCTACATAGCTCAATCTCTTTCCGAATTTGCTGTAAACCTGCTGACAGCTCCCATTGTTTAACCAATGTCAAATTTTGTGCATATCATGGAAAACTTATATGACTCTATACTACTAACAAATATGGTATTTGAGACATCTCTGCCTTCTATGCTTTAGTGTTATGACAATCTTCAAGAAACAAACTTTTCGCTAATAGAAAATAGGTTGCTAACTCAATTAGCATTCTACATATGAAGTGTTCTTAAATCTTTCGACATAACTCTTCTGAGTTATCTAAACCTTCATGTATCCTTGTCTCACAACACAGTCATCTTGAGTATTTAATACATGGTTACAAGATTATTTATATAAAACTCCTCATCATTAAAGACAAGTGTTGCATTGTCAAAGTCAAAATTCGTGCATATCATGGAAAAAATAAGGCTCTGTACTACTAATAATAAATATGGTACTTGAGACATCCCGCCTTCTCCGATTTGGTGCTAGGACAATCCTTTAAAAACAAACTTTTTGATAACAGATAATGGGTTGCCAACTCAATTTCCATTCTACGTATGAAGTGCCGTTAAATCATTAAATGTAACCCTTCTGAGTTATCCAAACCTTCATGTATCCTTGTCTCACAGCACAATCATCCTGATTATGTGATATATGGTCCCAAGATCATTTATATCAAACTCCCCCGCGTGGTGAGATAAGTGTTACAATGCTAGTCTTAATACTATTTCCAACAAACATGTCAGCGATATAATAACAAGATGATGAAAAGATCATTACATAACTCAAGACATAAGCACAATAGTCCAACTTCACATCTAAATCCCAAACTCACAATAAACAAGTCCAATTACTTTAACCAGCATCATAGTGCTTGTCTCAACGATTTCTTTAGCTGACAAACTAGATTCTTTTATTTTCTTCAATATAGCCTTCAGATTACATAAATATTTGCATCAAGATTTCTATGCAAAAAGCAGCTTTAACATCTAACTTTAATCTAAATCTAGTACATAAGTCCTACTCAAAATAATCAGCGGTTTGATGAACAGTAGATAATATCTCATCAAAGTCAACGCATGATTTACAAGCATATCCTTCAACACTTAATCGGGATTGGTACTTTTCTATTCCCATTAGCATCTCTCTTGAGCTTGAAGACACATCTGCAACCAGTAATTTTTCTCCCCTCAGGTAATTCTACCAAGTCCCACAACTGATTATTGTGCAAGGCTTTGACCTAATCTTCTATGGCTTTTGTCGTTGACGTTCTTGCTTTTCCATTTTACATAAGCTCTCATCCAAGATAGTGGGCATATTTCACAAGTTGAATTCACTTGGTTTACTGGTTGTCAAAGAGGTTGCTCTTTGTGCTCCTCTTCTTGGACTTCATGCTCTTGCTTTGCATCTAATAGGTCGTCTTAGCCTCATTTTCAACTAAGAGTCTTCGTCACAACATCTTGACTAAGCTTCAATTTGGGGTCAGTATGACCCCACAAATTGTACCTTTTTAATCCATTTGCATAGCCAAGAAAACACACATCTTCATGTTTAGAGCTTGCATAGCCCTTCTCTCATTAGGAATTCAAGCATAAGCATCATAAACCAAAATATGAAAAAAAAAAAATAACAAGTTTTCTCAACCGAACTTTCTCGAGAATTTGGCAATCCAGTGTAATACTATGACTAGTGATAAAAAAGCATGATTCGCCATTTCTGCCTGAATCTTTCTCCAACCAGCAACACACATCATGCTGCTCCAGCATGATCACTTAATCATTCGATTCGTTCACTCTGCCATGCTTTTATATTATGGAATGCCTAGAACTGTCAGTTATCCTTTAATCTCAAGCTTGTCGCAAAAATGTAAAAGTCCTTTGAAAAATAGCATTAGAGACAAATCTTTATCCCCCCCCCCTTTTTTCATTATTAACTATAAACTCGAGCATATAAACATAAACTTTCCTAGAATACTCATCAATTAACAAAATAGAAAATGATGCACACCAAATAATGTAGCTTTAGCGTTCCTACGCTTGCTTGTGTCCCAAACACTTGTGTCGTTACTACAAAATCTGTCAAAGTGTTTGCCACCACAGCATCACTTACAACAGTTTCCCCAAAAAGCATGGATTGATTGCAACAAACAATGGCTCTATCGCATTGCCAATAGGTGTGAAAATATTTCATGCATCGAGTCATGTGGAAAGCTACACATCTAAAAATCCACTTATGCATCATACCTGGGTTGTCGCCACTAGTCAAAACTTCAACATCTTCTAGAAGTCCCGCCTTCAGCAAGATTAAGTTAACATTACCAATATTGATGCAGTTATACAAATGCTCAAGACTTCCATTTGGCAGGAAAATAAATAGGCATCCTGACATTGTATAGTCGTATGACATCACACATGCAGGTGTGCCTTTTGATTGGTAAACTATTCAATCCAAGAAGACCGGTAAAATTAAAGCATAAATTTTACTTTGAAATTTTTAAAAACATAATCTCAGATTTCACAGCTCACCATATGCACCTCCTCATTTTCTCAACATAAAAATGTAATGATGTCTTTTATCTGACTTTGAAAGCTTTTAGAGAATATATTCTGATTTAACCATCAACTTCACTTCCAGAAAACAACCGTAAATAATGAAATGAATCTTCCCCTAATTGAGTTGCAAGAACCATGAATATTATTTGAAATCAACTCCCAAACTATGTTACATCGTAGGAATTGCCAAATTGCCTAGACATACCATATCAATGGTAAGAAACAATTTTCACACAAATAATTTAGCTGTGCTTTTTATAAATCTGCAGAACAAAATGATGAAAACTATAATTATCAGAATCACAATGATAAACTAAAAAAAGATAATTTGCAAGAGAAACATATACAACTCCCAGAATGCACAGCGAACTTCAAGTTACCGCAATATTGTCAGGAATCTGAAGGCAAAGACTGAGAATGATGCACTTGAAAAAGAAATTTCATTTCAATAAATCATAAAAAATGAACAAATATGTTTAACATCATTCAGGCAGAACCAAAGCTAAGCATAAGGATGACTAGCCCATAATTCTTTCTAAAGATAAATAGTGCTTAAAAAGATCAAGACATGATAATGAATATTCCTAACACGATTGCAGTGCTTGGTTAATCAGAAGAGTTATGAATGAGGTCCACAAAATGTTGCCCCTCTATATAATCGTGTAAAAATCCAGTACATCTGCGAAGGAGTTCCACAAATAACAGAGGAAGTCACATAGTGACTGGGTATTAGAGAATGTATGATAATGAATATTCCACATATGATTGGACTGCTTGATTAATCAGACAAGATATGGCTATGAGGTCCACAAAATATCCCTACATATAATCATGTCAAAAGACTCAAAACCTAATACATCTATGAAAGACTTGCACAAACAAAAGAGAAATTTGTGGACTAGTGACTGGGTATTACAGGCATGTACACCAAGGACATGACTAGTCCCTAATAGAATGAAGCTGCAAGAATTGATAAAGGATTACGAAGGGGAAGGAAACCTGCATCAACTTTAACCTTCATGAGAAATAATAATCTATTTGTGTTGCCAACGTTTACGTTAATTGAAAACAAGCAAAGAGGTTGGCAAACAGATTAAGATACAATGTTGATCCTTTGGACAATGGTTTATGGTTTAGTTTCAATATAGAGATATAGAAAGACATGAGCTCTTAAAAAAGGGCAAGTTTCAACAGTAAGGGTAGAGGACAACAAAGGAGAAAATATATAGTTTACACAAACAAAGCATGAATAAGAACTTACTTCAGCATCAGAGCGAGCTAGTACAATTAGAGGTGCAACACCACCTTCTCGTCCAATAGCAACACTATACATTATCAAAAAAGAACAAGATTCAACAATAAATAACTGAAAAACAACACAAGATGGAAGTATAGATGGAATGAGATAAGAGTACGCATAATAGAAATCAGTGAACTGCACATGTTTGGTACTCTAGTACGTACAAATTTATGTGGCACAAGTATGTAAACAAGGCATTAAATCAAGGGAACTACATCCTCATCATCGAGCATAGCAAAAAGTAAAAGCTGTCATTAGATCAACATAGAACCAGAAAGAAGGCACACTATGAATGGAGTTGATCTTTTTGCTACAAGGTCCTTGATTTCTTTTATGTGATAGAACCAAAAAAACTTTTTTCAAATATCTTTATTTACATATAAATAATTAAATACAAGAAAAGTTGAGCAAGTGAATGATCCACTAGTGAATACTTGCAGTTGTACCTATGTTTCTCATATTATTAAATAAAAGAGCACATATTTAAGGAAACCATTTCAGTTGGACTCAATGTGTCCCAGATTGCTGGAATAACATATATCTATATGCATGTGTAGAGAGAGGAAATAATGTCTATGAGGTGGCGGCTCATTTTCCTAATGAGTTACCAAAAAATAGACATGTGGCAAGGCCCACTTACTAGTCACATTGGATGGGTGGGCCTCACCATCCTTTTATCTCTTAATAGCTCAAATTAGCAAAATGAGCTAGCACCTAATAATCAACAAACCTACACACACACACACACAGAGGAGACAGAATATGATACCCCATTTGTTTAGTCCCGCATCGGGAACTCAAAAAATATGGATGGGTTTATAAGCTAACTCATAAGAATCAAGTGCAACAATGGGTAGTCATTTTTGGCAGTGATTTGAGCCAAACAATGTGGTACAAATAAGTGGATCTCAGGGCTTTACTTCACCCCAAGGGGGTCACCGGCCTGGGACATGACAAATCAAACAATTAGCCAGTCGGAAGTGTCAAATTATGTGCTATGTGAGACTAAGTCATCAGTTTATAAGCTAAATTATGAAAATTAAGTGCAACAATGGCTAGTCAATTTTGGTAGTAGTTAGCGCCAAACAACGTGTTGCATTCAGTGAGTCCCACCGCTTACTTCCCGCCAACAGGTTTGCAGGCTCGGGGAATGACACAGAGAGCAGAAATATGATACTATTAGTGTGACTCTATACTACCTACTTAAAATTATCTAAATCAAATGCCCAATTCATAACCGCTACGTCAATCGAGATGATCCAGATTGATCTACAATTATGATTTTAAACATGCATCGATATATAGGTACACTTTCTTTCAATGTTTCAAAGAATCTAAAAAAATTTAAGAAAAATGTAAATTCAACCAACTAAAAAAGATAAGTCATGTCAGTAACTAGTAAATGGTGTTAAAGATGAACTAAGAGAAAACGATTCACAATTGCCAAAAAAAGAATTCCTGCTTCACAAAGTGGGATGAGCGATTCAGATTAAAAATTAAAAGGAAAAAAGAGAGGCAAAAACTCCTTTATTCTATGGGAAAAAGCATTTGCTATTTCAGAACATACTAGGTAAGTTCCTACACTATTAGATTCCCTATTGGATACTAAAGAGTACAAAGAGAAACCTGAGTTCACAAGTTCAGGGTGTGATTCATCCCATGTAATAAGAGGAATATTCACTAACTAAACAGAGAGAGTATATCACCTTTGGGAGAGAGGGGGGAGGGGGGGGGATTCCATACTACTTTCCTCACTGAACGTATTAATTTTCTGTTCTAACACATTGTTTCTTTTGTGTTTCAGTTGGATGAAGAGTGGACACTAAAGAGTACAAAGAGAAACCTGAGTTCACAAGTTCAGGGTGTCATTCATCCCATGTAATAAGAGGAATATTTACTAACTAAACAGAGAGAGTATATCACCTTTGGGAGAGAGGGGGGAGGGGGGGAGAGGGATTCCATACTACTTTCCTCACTGAACGTATTAATTTTCTGTTCTAACACATTGTTTCTTTTGTGTTTCAGTTGGATGAAGAGTGGGTGTCAAGGTTCTAATTTTCTACATCAGAAATGTAAGGTTCAACTTGAAAATTGAGGCCGGAATTCTAGGATCAATGAGAAAACCTGCAAGCCCTTTGTTACAGTTGGTGTTAAGTTCTTATAATATATGATTCCATGTCATCCGCCAAGAGTTTTAGTTGGCAGTGAAAGGACAAGAGGACATGTTTTCCTAGATGTTACCTGTTAGCTTCAGACACTGACAATCCCCATAAAGCACCTGCAGCTCTCTCTTGAAGGCCTTGAGAAGCATTGGAGCATGATTGTGCAAGAGCAACCTGAATAAGACCAAACATTAGCTCCATTTGTCAAATAAATGAGTTAAAAATCATAAAAAGAATTTCAGCTATTGAAGACATATAATAGTATAATACTTTTTACGAGAATAGGATACAAAGAGATAGATCGATAGGGAGAGGGAGAGGGGGGAAGAGAGAGAGTTCCCCCAGCTAGATTATTGACACAATCAGAACAATGGAAAAAAGGGCATTGCGTTTTTCTGTCAATCAGCTCATGAGAAGTGAACGTTCAAATTCAAGGACTGCTGGCAATAGCAAAGAGTGAGCTAAAGCAGCAACTTCCAATAATAAATAAAGCAAATAGTGATGAAAATAGAGTATCGCATACTAACTATAGACCACAACTAAGATTTAAATTGACAGTTTACAACCCAAAATAAGCTGATATTAAAATGAGCCCCCAACAGACGTTACACAGACATTGTTTCATATGGGAGTATGGAACAAGATAAAATTTGTAGAAGGTAGAGTATGGGTACAAGGTTATCTATATGTGCGTGCATAATTAACACGACGTAGAGGACATGATGATGTAAAGGAGACAAATACAGTAAGTAGAAAGACATACCAATGCTTCAACCCCACCAGCTGCAGCAATTGCTTCACGATTTCTATCATCAAATGATAAATTCCATAGTGCACCAGCGGCTTCTTGTCTTTTACATGCACATGAGTAATAGAAGATTAGCTTAAGTATTTATATGAAGAGGCATAGATGTCAAAATAATTTTTTACCAAAGGAAACCATTATATGCCAAAAGAATATAACATAAAATGATAACTGCTCGCTATGGATATTAAAAACATAGGTGAAAGGTAGAAAACATTTTCTAAGATTCAAATAGTTGAAGTTATTATTGTTATTTATATGCGGAAGGCACACATGTCAGAATAAATTTTACCAAAAGAAACCACTATATACCAGAAACATAGAACATAAAATGATAATTGCTCTAGGTGAAAGCTAGAGAACATCTCTAAGGTGCTAATTATTGAAATATTGTTATTCATATATGCAGTTAAAAGATGGTATAAACAATAGAGACAATTTGTTGAGTTAACTAACTGTCCTATCAACAATTTTTCTCTCTAGTTTCTATTGATTTTCTTCCAGCGATTCCTCACATCTAAAATGGTATTATACCAGGGTCTCAGTCTAGTGAGCAGTTTTATAAACCACATCATATACATAAAAGGGCAAGCCCCTCCACCACCCACCGCAAAATAGATTCTAAGATTTCTTCATTTAATATGTACTGTATTGCTAAAATAGGAAGTTATGGGTGCTTGTTCCTAAACAACAGTTATTATTGAGAGCCATAACCCCTGAACTACACGCATTTTATGTTTATTTTCCTCATTTAAGGATTAGCAGGGTACGTTCATGACAAACAATTGATTTGTAGGCAACGAGACAGGTGGTGCATGTATCATTCAGTTAGCACTTAATTGGCTATCATCCCCTACGGCTTTCCCTGAAGTTCTCCAAAGAATGTTCCATACTAATCCATTCTTACAGATGCTTACTAAAGGATGTTTCCCTTAAAATTATCAGACACGTAAAATTAGTATACATTCTCTATCTAAAATTTTGATCACGGATCTACTAGAAACATAATAAGATATTAAGCAACTATTAGAGAAACAAAGAAATGACTTGTCTTAGAGCATGTTTGGTAATTGGTCAAAGTGATTTATCAACTTTTTTTTGGCTTATAAGCCACTGAGACGTGTTTGGAAAACAGCTTATTTTGGCTTATAAGCCAAGAAATAAGCTGGGATAACCCATCTTATTATTTGGTGGCATATAAGCCACAATGTTTGATCAAGTAAAACTAGGTTATCTCTTAATATTTAAGAAAATTCCAAAGCCCTATTTCTCTATGTCCAACCCCATTAAGCTTCAGTCATGTCTTTTTTTGGTCTTGACAGTAGTGATGAATTATAAGCCACTCATTTGCCAAACACCCTGCTATTAAAAATGAATAACAATCCACTAAATTTATCGAAAACTTTGGATTATAATCCACTTGCTTATAAGCCATTTGTGGATTATGCCAAGTGGATTATACGCCATAGTTCCCAAACATGCTCTTAAAGTGTGATGGCTTTAATCTAAAAGTTTCTACCCGTGAAAAGAAAAATTTTATAAACTTGTTCCATTCTCTATGGGATATGAACTTATGATTCAGTTTACTGTTTTCTTTAGTCCATAAATGATATATACAGACATTGAGATAGCTAAAAGGAGCACCTGATAAAGGGTTATTTTCTCAAACCAATCATGAACCTTGATATTGTTTGTGGATTATGCCAAGTGGATTATACGCCATAGTTCCTAAACATGCTCTTAAAGTGTGATGGCTTTAATCTAAAAGTTTCTACCCGTGAAAAGAAAAGTTTTATAAACTTGTTCCATTCTCTATGGGATATGAACTTATGATTCAGGTTACTGTTTTCTTTAGTCCATTAATGATTTGTCCCAAAGCAAAACATTAGCTCTTTTCCTGATGGAGACCGTATATACAGACATTGAGATAGCTAAAAGGAGCACCTGATAAAGGGTTATTTTCTCAAACCAATCATGAACCTTGATATTGTTTTGTTTGGATGCTAACTTTGCTGGAGATAGGTGGAGTCGAAGATCTATCGGTGGTTATTGACTTTATTCTATGCTTGTGTTTTAACCTATGTAGCTACTACTATGCTATTCTTTCTCCTTGTAGCTTACATTATGGTGCTATGCCTTTAGATCCAAAGCTTTGCTATACGCTAATGCTTTTTTGCAACGTTGGAACTCACACTAGAGAAGGGATCAGCTGCCATACAATCAAGCTCATAAACTGGCCGATCAAAATGCAGAAATTGGTCAATTACAGCTGGCAGAGAGCTCTAGAAAGCATGCAAGGGCCAGATGGATCCATCCTACTTTGAACAGAAAACAATTATGATTGATCCTAGTAAGAAAAGAAAAGGCTAAAAACCCTATAGAAGATTTGCATAGCATTCATTTCTGACATTCTAACCTACCTTGGCTCCTCCAAATGAGGAGAAAAAGGTACCTTAAATTTCACAATTCATGGCAGCTCTTATTGAAACTTAGAACTTCTTTGATACAGGCATCTCTCTCACCAGTTAGTACTTTACATTATTTAGAAACCAAAATAATGCATTTTAGATAATAGAGAAACTAAAATTTAGTGCCACAAGCAGCAATTGTCTATTTCTCAGAACATCCTTCCAATCCTTTGCACATGTATTGCTTTTTCTGAAAGGCTTTACTTACAAAAAAAAAGTTTAATATGCAAATGCAAAGTGATTTTAAAGAAATCCTACTCACTCTTCCTGCTTCCTTCTCAAACAGACAAATGTATTTTTGAAAATTTAACCCCCACCCTGTCCAAATGAATTCTGAATCTCTCATCCACACCAACATTAACCCTCAGCACCATGTGTGGAGAACCTGTCACTGCTTCTCCAGGCTCAGTAATGACTGAAGCTTCCTTCTGAGGCTGTTCATGGAGACAATCAGGTGCAAAGCTACATATTGTCCTTGTGAGTTGGGGTCCTAAAAAATATTTGTACCCACAGATATATACGTATCCATATCTAGATACAGATATGGTTACTAAAATCTATAACCAATAGGATGTGGTTACAAATACGATCATGTAGTAAAATATTCAGATTCTGTATCTGAATTATCCGAATATATGTTAATTATACAATTGCAATTGTTTTAATCCTTGGATTACTTGATATGAGACTAATTTTGATTATCAAGAGATCTACTCTTAGCTTTTCAGATATAACGAACAAATTAATAATTCCCTCATATCACGTGAATTATATTATTTTCAACATTATTTGGTTTTCTCATTGTTTTTGTATTCGCATGTATATCCACATATTTATATTCGCATGTTTATCGATAAACATATCCGATTTTAGCAGATGTGGATATGAGTTTTCCTTACCAGGATATATTCATATTTGTATCAATCCGAGATTGGTAAACAGATACGGATATGTAAGATACCTAAGTTGTATCTGAGTTGTATCCAAGATATTTGCACATTTGCACCCTACGAGTGAGGTGTTTAATCTACCTTGATTTTGGACAATTCTAATTTTACTTTAGTCCAGAATTTTTTATTTTTCCCCCTTCTTGTCTTTAGGAGAATGTAGTCAATCGGTTACATCTAAAAAAATTCTGGCTTTTCCTAACAACCATCTTAGAAGTACAAGCACTAGTTAGCTAGTAGCTCTACTCAATCAAAGTTGTTGTCACATTGTGCATAATCTAGCCATGCCCTAGATTATGTCATGCCGAACAAACTGACTTGTGGTGGTGACTGCTCGATTAAGGCCCTATGCAAGAACTTTGATGTCTGTAGGCCAGTCTTCAGGTGAGCAGAAGATAAATCTATCAATAGAATGCCAAAGATCATGACCAAATGTCATTGATGTACTCTTTCTATATGCAAGACAGGAACTATTCATCTAACTATTCTAAGTGGATGGTAATGCCCTTCTAGCTGGTCCAAGAGCCAGCCTGCGTAATGTTTCACTTATCATTCCTTCTCTGCTAAAGATCTATGGAATATCTGTCACAGACAAGTAGAATTGTGAGGAGCAACCAAGGACGTGCTCTCAGCACTCGGCAATGGAAGGTGTATCTTTTTTATGAGCGTTAAAGGGATGGGTGTCTTTCGAGCTGTACACCCTCCGAGAAAGAGGAAATATCATACAAAAAAATTTGGATTGAAATGAGATGTGGAATATCATGTACGACAAAGAAATGGAGGTGATCTCTCATCTCACAATGGACTGTAGAAACAATATTGAATCTCGTACCTGCAAGAGATATGTTGACAACACTCCGACATCCAACTAAATAACCTTGCAATTGTAACGCCATGGTTTCTCATAACTAATTAAATATTTTCTAAAGTCTAAAGGTGGCACATCACAGAGAACAAATTCATTGTTATTCAGAAATAATGAAGGCTACATAACATATCATTCTGGCCACAATCTATATGATCACATCTCAGAGGAACCTTGGTAACAAGGCTAAAGATAAGGGCGGCAGGAGGTCTCGACCTTGTCAGATCGCCCAAACCTGACTCAAAGAATACAGTGCAAGGGGCCAAGGAATTCATTATTAAGACAAAATCAGCATCATGTTGTTCCCAGATAGCAAGCAAATCAGTAAACAAACTATTTAGCGAAAACACAATTATATGAAGAATGAAGTGGAACTGTCAACATAACGTCAACATTACATAACATTATTGAATTGCGGGTGAATGACAAACTAAAACTCCAATAGAAGGATACAACTTGTCAATCCAATTATATCAAGAAAGACATCAAACCCCGCTATCTGTGTATATACCCCTTGAATTATGGTATTTGCAAAACTACCCTCCAAATCATCAATTTTGGGGGGAAAGCACCCTCAAAATCAACAAATCATGAACTTTGCTGACATGACATGTTAAGTTTTGAATAATCCGTTAATATTTTACATTGCAAGCTATCAAAATCAATGATTTATTGAAGGAATAGCACTTATATACCCTATTGTTTCACCTACTTCTTACTTATATATCTCAATTTGTATTTGGTAGCAAAAAAAATACTCTTAAGCTTTTTAAACTTGCACTTCTATACCATCACTTTTTTTGGCGGCACTTAAATACCCTAAAGTTTTTACAACTAGCACTTTAATACATAAAACTCTTAAAACTTGCACGTAAATAACCTCAGATATGCAAACTTGAGGGTATTTAATGCAAGTTTTTAAAACTTTAAGAGTATTTAAATGCCAGATTTACAAACTAGGTACTAAAGTGCAAGTTTTAATAACTTTAGGGTAAGTGCTAAAAAACTAGTGAGTATATAAGTGCAAATTTTAAAAAAAAAATTAGGTTATTTTCTTGCTACGAAATACAGTGAGGGTATATAAGTGAAAAGTAGATGAAACAATAGGGTATATAAATGCTATGTAGCCTTTATTTTTTTGAAGTTGATAATTTGGAGGGTAGTTTTGCAAGTACTGAGATTTTGGGGGAAAACTAAAAACAAATACTCAAGATTCAAGAGGTATACATATAAAAAAATAGAAAGAATAGCGGCAGAGTTCTTATGATCTAAAGAATTTGAGATCCAAAAATTTATCCTCTATTTAATTCTCATCTCCTTCAGATGTAGATAAGATATCAATCTGAAAAAGATTGAATCCATGTCACCACGTACTATAATTACCCACTCTCAGATCCTCTGAAGTTTCAGTTTGCACCTTTTCAAATCTGAATTCTCAGCTCTCACAAACTACCCCTCTGAACTTAATCACATAGTTATCCTTCTGATTATTAACACAAAACAAATAGGGGAGATGCCCCTTGTTTACAGGTGATTTCCCCATTCCCATAAATCATGTCCTACAAACTTAATCATGTGGTTACTCTTTTTAATTATTAACATACAACAGATGAGAGAAGCAGACGAACTTGGCTCAAGTTAGATTGGACCTTCTTCCAATCGACTTGTCCCAACATCCAACGTGAAAAATATATATCAAATACAGCAGATAGGACAACTATCAGGAATTCTCATATGATAGGGATACAAGAAAATGCCTACAAGAAATCCTAAATAGTTAGAAAGATGAAAAGTAGCCATTAATAGTACCTACTTCGTCCGTGTTGTTAATACATAAAAATAGAGAGACTGGTGGACAAGTGTACATATTTTTTTCATTAAGTGCTTCAAGATTGTGAATCAGCAAAAACCATCAAAGTAATTTTTCTTTTATTATCTACACTATCAAGTTCAAACAACAAAATGTGTACCTTACTCCTTCATTCTGCGAACAAGTTAGTTGCACCAGTGCCTCAAGAGCACCTGCCTCTTGGCCAACAGCAGCATTGTTACTGTTACTATCTCCATGAGCAGCTAAATTAGCTAAGGCACGAGCAGCCTGATGATATATTTAGAAAAAGGAAAAATCAGGAGAGACAAAAATAAGCAACATTCCAGTAACATATTATGCTTACGTTCTGCTTGAAGACAATATGATATGTCAAAGAGAACTCCACGGAAAAATGACAAGGAAAAAATGGCAACCACTAATATCAGAAATCACCAAATTAGACAGGAAGCATTCGATTAGACAAATCGATTGGCAAGAATGCATACAAATTGCAGAATTATTCAACAAAAAGAAATCCAACTCATCAAACCAAAGGCACCACCTAGCAACTATGACCCGATGCTGTTTCTAAAGCTGAATGTTGAGATATTCAGTCAAAAACCGTAGTGAAAGAAAATTTTCTACTACAGTAGATGTTAGATAGCAAGATTGTAAAATCAATGATCTCTGCAGACATTGTTTGCAAAAGAGTAGGACCTGGTAAGTTTTACTATACTCTAAGGAAACCATGGTGATTTTGCAATACAGCAAGAGTGTCTCCTGATCAACACTCAAGTGATGGACTATCAAACAGTCAAGTCAGATAAGAAACCTTATTCTTACACAAGCATATGGTGGTCCGCGGGACATGAGCAAAGTTCTTGCAAAAGTAGTGATACGTAAAACCAATACCAGCAATCAATTACAATATGCACTCAAGCTACATAAATTATGCCTATTCAATGTTATGGAATTGTTTCAAACTTAAGCATCACAACACATTGTTCTCATCCCCCAATTTCTAGAGGCATTTTAATCTACCACCAAAGATTGGTTCAAGAGGACCTTCCAAAGAAATCTTTTAACCATTTATGCCAATATAAGCATTGGTATATTGACTCCTAAGAGCGGATCTTACATATTGAGTAAACTACAAAGTAGTTATTTTCTTATTTCTCACAATTTCAAATAGATTTTCTGAATTTTTTTTCCCCAATTATACGTATTTTAAAGTAGATCCCCCAAAATGTCATACGTTGAACTTAGTCAGTTACACCAAAGATGGCCCCCAAGTTAAAATACGTTAATCTAAACGAAAACTTCCTAACCAATGTTTCTTATTCTAATTATGTCCTTCACCTGCCTCTCGTTTCTCAATTGGCAATCACTGCATAGGAAGGTTAGAGAGATAATATATGGAGAGGGTTGGATAGAGGGATAGGAAGGATGATTATAGGGTGACTTGAGTTGGATAGAGGCGGATGGGTAGAGAAGAGGGTGAGAGAAGGGAGAGATGTAATGAGGTACAGGTGTGGGGAAGGTTTGGGTGAAGGGATGAGGGGAGGGGTTTGGTTCAGGGGATAATGGATGGGTGACGGATGAGGGATAAGGGAAGTTTGATGCTTGATAAGGGAGAGGGATGAGGGGACGAGGGAGGAAGGGGTAGGGGGTGGGAGAGAGAGGGTTGTTGCTTGGGAGGACGAGATAACTCCTAACAAAGTTAGGGTTAAGTTTATTGGATTGTTAACCTAATCCAAGTCTGATGGGGCTCCTCACCTGATCCAAGTTAAATCTGAACATAAATACTCCCGGAGATCAGTTTGGTATTAATGTAGAGCATTGTTTTAAATATCCCCGACATGGCCCGATATATCCCCCGATATATCATTTTACAGGGCTTGCCGCAACCGATATGGTCTTTAAATATCCTTTACCGTTTTTTGGCTATTTTGAGTGATAAATCCCCGATATGGCTGATATATTAGCCGATATGTGGACCAATATAGCTTGTTGCAAAAGAATATACCGTGTTTGGAATTTTTGGGCGAGATATCAAGATTTTCCCATTATATCAAGTGACATTTTGCCCTAAAAAAAGCAGATCGAATGTTGCAACGTTGCTTTGCACTTTTGTTTATTTTAGAAGGTTGATTAGTGATCCTAAACATATACTATTCATATTTTGTATGCTTAAATTTTATTACATATGTTAAGATTACATTTTAATGCATTATACTATGTATGCAAACATTCATTATGGCATTCCGATATTTACCACATATCCCCGATATTTCCACGATATCCGCAATCCGATATGAATTTTGACCATCCGATATTTCCCCGATATCCGATATTTAAAACCTTAATGTAGAGGATTGATTTCATAATATGATATTTTGGGAGACCTATCTCAAAATACAGAAAATCTAGGGGATGATAATCAAAAAACACCTTTTCAAATTTAATAAGAAAGAGAAGTACAACAGTTGACCACATATAGAACAAAGTCAGCATTAAAGTTTATTATAATGTCTTTATTTTTAGATAAATACTGGTATTCATCAATTTCACCGTCCCCTCCATTATTCCATGGAGCAATTTTTTTTCACATGATAGTTGTATTCCTATGAAATATGGTCAATGTTGTCAAAATTATACATGTATACTATCTGATTTGTGATAAACTACCTCGATTATTCAAATTCATATTTGTATAATTAAACATGTATACTACCTGAATTACCAACAATTGTATCTCTATTAAATATTAAATATGATCAATGTTGTCAAAATTAAACATGTACTATCCGAGTTGTGATAAACCATCTGAAATATCCAAATTGATATTTGCTTGATAGATATCTGGATAATAACGACGTGTCTATTATTTCTTATACTACAACAACAGGAATACAAAATTCTTTGTCTCAAATTTATGTGGTCAACTACATGAGTCATATTCTTCCATTTAACTACATAAGTCATATTCTTTCATTCAATTCTGTCAAGGACTATTATATCCTTCTTAATCCCCTTCAACCAAGCTCTCTGAGGCCTGCCTCTATTCTAAACTTTCTCACTGAATTAATCATAGTCTAATCATTTCTCATAATTGTTGCATTTAGTGGTCTCAATTGCACATGGCTAACCATCTAAATCAGTTATCTTCAATAGGAGCAACCTCTAAATTCCTATAAATGCACTCATTTTTTTGTACTATATCTTAATGTATAACCACAGATTCATTATAACATTCTATTTTTGCTATAACCGTTATTAATTCTTATACACAATGATCAATATGGCTACGGTGATTTTACATGTCTTTTCTCATTTCAGACAAAAATACTGAAATTGGAAAATTGAACTAATTTTCTTCCAATCATTAACAAATTCGACACTAGATTAGCATACATGTCCAATCTGAGTCTAAAATCATTTCAAATATAGTGATCAAACCAATAGTCACTGTAAATCCATAGTTCTACTTGTATCCGCTAAAGAAAACAAATATGGTATTGATTATATCTTATGTGCCCAAACTTTTGCTTCCACCTCCTCTCTTCTTAGATTTCACTCATCTAACGTAACACATTTCTCCCTTCTTTCTCTTTACCCCCTCCACTTTCCATTTCTCAAATATATTATTTTATTTTTCTTTTTATTATCTCTACATACATTAATTGTGCATGTGTATGCCTCACAGTTTGATTTATAGAGGCACTAGTCCACCCATTTTATGACAGCTTATAAAAGATGTTATTTAAAGAGACCTCCTCAGACAGCTATGATTAACATCCTCATTTTGCTACCAGAATAGTCTTTTAAGACTTCTAATACATTCATCCAAAAAAAGGACTTGTAATTAATGCTACAACAGAGAAGAGTGTTCTTCACTTCTCCTCGACTCTCTTCCTCCCCTCCCATCCCTCTCAATGAAATATATCATACTCATGTGTCACAAATACGACCATTGGAGTCATTAACTGGTCTACTAGAGAATAGCTTTAAAGAGATTTGAGTTAAAGAAAGCTCCTCCACCCAAAATTCTACAAGAATTATGATCAATGTCCTTGTGTTGCTTTAAAAACCCTCTTCAGTCGGATGAATGCTAAAATTACGCATTAAGCCCTTTCTCTCCATTGGCATAGAGCAAACTGGATGTTGACAGCTTCAATCGCTCACTTTACTTTAGGTCAGCACTCTAGAACAATTCTTAACTACGGTTTTTCATCTCATAAAACCCAATACATTAGCAATTTGCATTACCGTTGTCTCAACTCTCTCATGTAGTTAAATACTGAAAGTTTGAAACTGATTTCTCAATAACTTTCATACACATTTCTTGTTGTAACTCAGTGTCCAATCTCCAACTTATTAGTATTTCAGGGCACCTAAGACTTCCGAAACCAGCTTACTGTTATCATAAATTAATTCCGCATTTCATATTCCTCAATGCAAACTGCTATGACATAACCTACCATGTTCACTTACTTTGTTGTGTGGCTCTTATTTTCCTACGAGAAGAATGCATGCTTTATCCCCTACTTTATGTTTTCTCTTCATCATAATTTCTTTCTAGGTTAAAAACGTATTAGGAGGACAACTTGTTTGGAAAGAGCTTACAGCCTTAACCTGTCCAATCAATATAGGTAGACCATTCTGAACACCAGTACACATGGTTTATTAAACAAGAAACTCTCTTTTCTGTTGCATGGCTAGGATGTGCCCTAAAGTGCAGATAATTGCCATAATGTTGTAGTCATCAGGCAGGTTCCAGATAAACCACAATTATGGAGAGAATTTGCATGCTGTGGTCTATGAAGCACGGACACGGTGACACGGACACGACACAGACATGGCAAACCCCCAAAAAATAGGACACAGCGACACGGCTAAATTTTTTTAATATTATTATTATATATAGATCAATATTGAATTAAATTCCTATTACATTTTCATATTTTTTGTTATGTAGAGTGGAGATTATAAATAAGAAACTAAAGGAAAGTGTGTGTTGCAGGTGTGAATTAAGATGTCGGGATGACAATGATCTCTTGGAGAATTGAAGACAATAATGTTAAAGAAGACAAGAAAGAAAAGATGTGTCGGGATGACAATGATCTCTTGGAGAATTGAAGACAATAATGTTAAAGAAGACAAGAAAGAAAAGATGAACATATAGAAAAATAGATCAATTTTTAAAGAAGACAAGAAAGAAAAGATGAACATATAGAAAAATAGATCAATTTTTATGTTGTATTATTATGTAACCTTGGCTTGTATAATCAATGACAAGTGTAAGTTATGTAACTAATTTGAAGATAATACCAAATTTTAATTTTCACTACTTTCATCTTGAGCATATAAAAATACAAGAGAATAAAGAACAAGTTGCAACCAGCTCCATGGCTACAAAATACTAAGTTACTAACATTGCAAAAATATAAAAATTTCACTCAAAAACGTATCTTAAAATAAAGTTTTCAAGTTGAAACATCAAAAAGATTATTCTATGGCTTCAACTCTTTCATCCTCCTCAAACACAACAGTCTCCATCGTGGGATAATCGTGGGATAATGGCACAGCTTTTAAACATTTTATTTGTAAGGATAATGGCACAACTTTTAAACATTACATTTGTAAGGATAATGGCACAACTTTTAAACATTTCAAATGCCAAAAGTTTTAAATATTGCAGGTTAAATATAACCAAGTTCATTGACAAGATAAACTAAAATAAAAAATAGTAAAAACAAAAAGAGAGAGAAAAGCAACTGAGAGAGAGGAAGAGATCCAATAAAAGAGAAAAGCAACTGAGAGAGAGGAAGAGATCGGGGAGAGAGAGATCCAGAGAAAGACTGAGAGAGAGAGAGAGATCGAAGAGGGAAGTGATCGGGGGAGAAAGAGATCGGGGGAGAGGGAGATCGGGGGAGAGAGAGATCCAGAGAGAAACTGAGAGAGAGATCCAAAGAGACTGAGAGAGAGATCAAGAGATCGGAGAGGGAAGAGATCAGGGAGAGAGAGAGATCTAGAGAGAGACTGAGAGAGATCGAGAGATCAGAGAGAGAGTGAGAGAGAGAGAGAGATCGAGGGAGAGAGGGACGAAGAATCAGAGAGAGAGATCGAGAGACTGACCTAGCCGACGAGGATGACGACGAGGACGATTTGCTGAGAGGACGACGAGGACGACGATGACGATCGAGAGAGAGATTGTGGCGTTTTCTTTTCAGTCGGGATCGAGAGAGAGATGAGCCAATCGGGTGAGTGAAAAGTGAAAACTAGGGTTAGGGTTTGACTTTGGCTTTGGCTTTGGGTTTCGAGTTTACAAATTCTCTTTTTTTTGCCCTCTCAGCCGTGTCAAGAACAAAACAGCGTGTCGAGAGCGTGTCGGGAGCGTGTCGGGAGCGAGTCGGCGACGTTGACCGTGTCGGCGGCGTTGACCGCATGTCCGACGCGTGTCGCACTTGTGTCCGCGTCCGACACGCGTCAGAGACGGACTCGTGGCCTTTTTTCAAGTGTTGGTGCTTCATAGGTTGTGGTTACATTAAGTTTACATCTCCATGGCGCCACCTCATGCCTCACAAAAGGGCACAAGCTCAAACTTTGCCCACTATGATGCACCTTGATCTATAAACTAAATGGCCCTTGACATTCATGGAAGCACAAATAGCGGTAGCTAGGACATGTGTAAGCTGTTGTCGGTATCTTTACCAGTGTGATCAGCTATTTCAATATAAATCAGATGCCGAAAAACAAGAAACACTGTATTAATAAGAAATAGCTACTTTATGAAGAATAAACATAATAAACTCTTAATTGAATGAGAAAAGGTTGCTAGAAACAGGAAATAAAGACATTCAACAGGACAGAGGGAGGCTAAAACGAAAGCGATAGCAACAATCAATTGTCGAGACCTGCTCTTGAACTCCATCAACCTTGCATGACCGAGCAAGTGTCACTAGAGCATGGACCCCACCTGCCAATGCGACCTCCATGCTGCATTTGTCATCAGCAGCCAAATTTGCAAGTGCACCAGCAGCTCGTTCCTGTTGCAGAAGAAAAATGAATAGAGCCTCAATTTCAACCTTTCCTTCTAGTGTAGATGACTCAATTATCAATTAAGGTGCATACAAGAACTCCCTCTGTTCCAGAGGGCCATTTGAAAATAAGATCCACCAGAGCCTTCACACCACCAGCCTCAGCTATAGCCGCCTGGAAATCAATAATGCAAATTATGTAACACTTATCTATTGAAATGTTGCATGTTTTCCTCCCTAAAATATAAACCTTGTGCTCTTCTCCTACAGAAAGGTTCCAAAGCCCTCCAGCAGCCTCTTCGGCAACTAGTTTGTTCATGGATCTCGCTAGATCTGCTAGGATTGTTATGCCCCCTTCATCAGCTACTGCTTTCGCAACTTTTGAATTCACTGACAAGTTTGCTATGGCCTGCAAGTTCAAAATAACACTTAAACCCATCCATCAAACCAAGCTCCAAGCTTGACGAACAATTGAGGGTTAGAACAAGATTCTACCTTTGCAGCTTCCGACTGTACACCCTCTCTACGAGACCTCGCAAGTTCCAAAAGCAATGGTATCCCATTATTCTTCATCACAGCTTCAGCCCTTGCTGGATCCACAGTTGCATTATCATCATCAATCACAACGAAAGTAGCAAGCCCGGTGGCTGCTCTCTCTTGCACATCCTCTTGAGAACTCTTCACCAAGCTCAGCAAAAGAGCAGCACCCTGGTTCAACCAAAACTCATCGATACCGTTCGGGTTAGTCTCCGCTATTCTTAAAAGATACTGCGACAAAATCCACTCAAGCCAGCTCATAATATCATCCAGAATCTTATCCTTCTTTCCCCAACTCCTCCATAACCCAAAAATATCTTTTCCCTTAATCATAGAACCCGAAAACAAAGAACAAATCCCTTTAAAAATATCCGTGAACAACGCAAGAAGCAACTTCCCCTTCTTGTTAAATGCAGCCGGGTTATGATTCCCCTCAACCTCAAGTGCCAAGCAATTCAAAGCACACATAACCTTCAAACTTTTCGACAATGAGAGAAGCCTAGACACTGCACTTGGACTCACATCGGTTCTCGAAATGTCAACAGCCACCAAATTGGGCAGCTTGCTCCAAGAAAGTGCGGCAGAAGCCCATTTTATGTTCCTAGATCCCGCAACCGATAAAAACCTAAGTGACATCACCTTTCCAAAGGCAGTCTCATCAACATTCAGACAATCAGTGAACGAGATTTCCTCCAAAACAGTGCAATGCCTGGCCAAAGCCCCAATAGCTTTTCCATCAATCTCTCTCACACCAGAGAGCCTCAGCCGCCGGAGCTTGGGGCAGCAAATAGCCACGTGCCTAATGGCATCGCTCGTAATTTTATCACAAGCATCAGGCCCAATCTGAAGGCACTCTAGGGCTTCATGCCTCGCTGCAATCACCGAGAGAGTAGCATCCGAAATCTCACGGCAATAATCACCAGTTATCTCTCGAAGCCCCNTCAGAGCACCTGGACGCCAGAGACGTCGCTGTGTCGGCATCGCAGCGGTAGGCGCGGAGGTCGAGGGAGCTCCAAAGGCAAGAAGAGGACCCAAGAGCTCGCCAAGCTTTGCAAGTAGAAGCGTGTCGGCATCGCAGCGGTAGGCGCGGAGGTCGAGGGAGCTCCAAAGGCAAGAAGAGGACCCAAGAGCTCGCCAAGCTTTGCAAGTAGAAGC